ACAACGACAGCGGCATCGAAGACGCCCCAGACGCCCAAATCTACCCCACCCGCGCCCGCCGCAACTCATGCCTCACAGAAGACGGCAACGAGATCGCCCTTCCCGGCACCAGCAACGGCACAAACAAGACAACAGCAAAGGTCACGTCCTCGTCGAAACCGGCCCTCGAATCAAAAGACTGGGTCTCCCGCGGCGGCTCCTCCATCGTCGGCCCCTTTGGCGACGTCCTCGCCGGGCCGCAGTGGGAGGACGACGAGGGCATCATCTACGCCGACGTCGACTTTGAAGACTGCATTCGCGGACGCTTGGACATTGACGTCGGAGGAAGCTACTCGCGCAACGACTCCTTCAAGTTTTCCGTCGAGGGGCTGGACCTGGATCCCCTGCCGTATTAAAACAGTGCTGTCGAGTGGGCAGTCCTGCTGTAAGTATTCATCAAGACTGGCATGTAAGTAATCACCAAACTTGATAATTGGGTAATCAATGCCAAAAACGCAAGAGAAAAAAAAGTACGATAATCAGACCTCGTTCGTAATGCATGTATTTCCGTCAGTGCTCAACTCACGGCTAGATGGCTGCGTATGAGCCCCGTGAGGGTAATATCCATGAAACCATCCCAATCCCAAGTACCGAACCATCCCAGTCTCCCTCCCATGATGCCAGCCAAACACCCAAGCCCCAGACTCATTAATGCGAGAAAATGGTCGTGAATAGTGATGGAATATTGTATTTAGCGCTCCTCGTCGTCCTTGGCCCGATTCGTACCGTCGCTCCTGTCTTCCGTTCCGCTCTTTTCCGACGTCTCTCTTGGACTAGTCAACGGACTGGTCACGCCGCCGATGCTCCCGCTGATGCTGTCAGACCGGCCGTGGCCTAGCAGCCCGCTCCGAACGCTCGCTCCATCCCCAGTGCCGCTCTGCTTCGCATAAAAGCTGTTTCGGTCGCCAGGTATGGCGGGAGCGACACCAGTGGCCGAGTATATACTAGTGCGTTCGGCGTTGGCTATACGCGAGCTGCTTTGGTGAAGCCCCGGAGTTGTCGGCATTCCCGCACCCTGTTCGATGTTGGCGCTTAGGACGCTCAGAGGAAGGCTTTCCCGGCTACCGCCCCAGAGGGAGGAAGGGGCCAGGGCACGGACAGAGGCATCGGTATCGAGTGAGCGACGTCGGCGACGTTGCGACGAGGACGCCAGGGTGATGATGGATGCGTTATCGGTAAGCAGGTTATTGGCCGTAGCCGTTGTATATGTTTGGGGGTTGCCAGAGGCCGACCCTGCAGGTGCAAGATGGGCGGGGATGGCAGATGCTGGCGGTGCTGTTGGGAATGGTTGGTTGAAATGGATGGATTGGGTGTGACCCTGGTGCGATGTGTGATTGCCGTTGTTGGTCGGGTTCGTTGGCACATGGGTGCCGCCGTTGTTTGGCGTCATGGACTGGATTGTGGTCAAGGTGGTCGTCAATGACCGCACTGACGGTGCTGGGGACGAAAATGTGCTGTCCCCCCCTCTGCGAGACTCGACACCTCCAATGGTTCGACTCGTCCCTGCTACGGATGGAGCGCCGTGGGAAGGGGCGACTAGGGAATGAGCGCCATCGTGATCAGTCGAAATCGTGGGGGCCATGGATCTTGCGCCGGCGGTGGGTGGGGCGCGACCATCCTCGGAGGACATTCGAGAAGACATGCGAGAGGATCGTTCAATCGAGGTTGCGCTCCCGCTCAGAGCGGTTGAGAATGAATAGGAACTGGTTTCGACATCGACATCGGCATGGCTAGCGGAGCCTACTCGGCCTGATTGAGGATAGGGGTTATTGTTCTTGGAGGCTCGCATCTTTGCGTGGAGTTTGGCCTGTTGGCGCTTGGAGCTGGGAAGGCGAACGCCGCCTCCATCGCTAGAGGATGAACTTTTGAAGTTGGTGAGCTTCTTGACCCATGTGGAGAAGGGACGGCGGCGGCCAGCACGATCGGGACGATCTACCATGTTGTCAGTTTCTTGTGCGGTTGAGGCGACTGACCACACGGCATGGCCTGGAGCTGCCGAAGGATTGCGCCTTGGGCAGACGGCAGCCGCAGCGATAAAGCAGATGCGGTCAGAAAGGTAGGTTATAATTACCGTGCGGCTGCAGCGCGGCCTCGGTTGTAGCCATTCGGTCGTCTTGCAGGGCTGATTTTATCGCAAGAGGTTATCTGCCGGAAGTGGTTGCAAAAGGGGTATCAGCGGAAGAAGTCGAGTGGTGAAATACGGCGAAAATGAGGCGGTAGATGGAAGTCGGGGCGTAGGACTCGAGTTGGAGAAACGAGCGGGCGTTCAAATGAGCGTGCAGGAGAGAGGTAAAGAGAAGCGTCAGCCGATGGGAGAGTCGGGTTTTCGGGAATGAAATGGATGAGTCGGGAAGGTTGAAGGAATGTGAGCAAAATGCGGTGGTCGGAGATCGAGATGGGAGGAAGGTGTGCGGTGTGCGGTGTGTCGAGGTGAGAGTGGTGGTTAGTTAGGTCGAAATCGAGAATGGGAGGAGCGAGAGCAAAGAATGAGATTGAGAATGGAAATGGAAATGGGAATGGAAATAGGACTGGAAACGGAATACTGAAAGTGGGATGGGAAAGAGTCCAAGGCAATGAATGCAGATGGCAGCGGCAGCGACAGCAGTAGCAGTAGCGGCAGCGGCAGTACCCAGCAGTGGCAGCTTAGGTACCTTACCCAGTTGCTGGACCCGGGCTGCACCAAGTCACTTACCTACCTTAGGTACTGTAGGTTCCATCCAAAGCCCACCTCAGGGAAAAGAGGGAACCCAAGGTACCTACCTACCCGTATCTTAGTACCTTACATACCGTGGTAGGTACTTTAGGTATTGCGAAAGGACCAGAACGGATTTGAATCATGGGGGACCAAGGCGTGGAGCTGAGTGGGCCGCAACCGCAAAGCCCCAGCCCAGACGCCCCAGGCGCTGCCCATCGTCGCTGCCCAGCCCGGCGTTTTTTTTCTTGCAACATGTTGTACGGTGTAAGGTATGGTCTCTTTCAGCTTCTCTTCTTTCACCTACCTTAAGTAAAGTCTCTAACTAAGGTAAGCACAACACTCCAAGTCGCCCTAGAGATACTCGTACGTCTCTATCCGTCCTACCAGTGCTCGGACGGCATACGGAATACCCTTTCTCCCACTGTTGAATACGACCACACGACAATACCAGAACTGGGGAGGGTGGCACCCAACATCCTGCCCACCTCACCTTACGCAACCACGCACTCACGGCAAGGTCCACATCCCGCCTGCGCCGCCCTACGGTCGATCAGCAACGTATCAGTGGTCCACGGCCGAAGCCATCTTGGAGACCCTGAGACCTTGGGGGTCGCTCTCGCCCATCTCCACTGCCCTAGGTAAGGTATGTAGTCTGCGTCTGCCAACTGCCCGCTGGGTTGGAAGCGCCCAACGTCTGCGCCTCCGAAACTGGCACTACTTACTTTTGTTACTTTTTATTCAAGTAGGTTATGAGGCGGCATCTGGGCCAAGGTAGAGAACCCCCAGCCTTCGTCAGTTTGATAGTGGAGGACGGTGTTATCCCAACAAGCGCAACGCGATCAAGCCAATGTACAACGTGAACCTAGCCCTGGAATTGACGAAATTGGACCACTTGGTGCCATTCGTCCCGACCCAAGCGGAGACTCTCGCCTTCCCAGGACTCCAGTCTTCCGATCATCAATGTCTTTGAAAGAGCTCGACTGGGATCACTGCAAGGCCCCCCGGAAGCGTGGACCCTTCAATCCCATCGAAAACACTGCCAACTGGTGTGGGCTTCATTAATTGCTTACGCCTACTTATACTTGTTGCTGATTGCTGCAAGACAATCCATCAGGTCGCATTATGTCATCATCATCATCATCTGTGCGGTCACTCCAGTGGGCACTCACCAGCCACGCACATGGAACAGTTGCTGTATCCGTACCTAATTCCATCTGATGTGTGATGTCACTCTCTGGATATTTTCGCACACTCTTTACTTTCACGAATCTACCTTAATTCTTATGTGCCGCTGGATGGTAGACCTTCTCAGCACGTTTCTCGAGACGCGATAGAAAGCCCAAGAGATCCCACCAACTTGAGACAGAATTGGTGTGTTCGTATCTCCAATAGGCATCCCATCCTCGTGGCTACCCTTTCGACGTTGGGAAGAAGGAAGACAGGGATCACATGTAAGACAATCAATATTAAACAATAACCATCAGCCACTTTGCTCCTCAACATCAGACGGCAGCTTGAGCTTTTGTACTCCGTACTCCGGATTGATTCTAGATCCCCGCACTTTCGTGATTCCTTGATCTGTCCTAGCCATCCAACACCAATACCTAGAGTGTCAAGCACACCTGAATCACAAGAGAGAGGGCCCCCTGCAATCATGTTCAGAGTCTTGCAGCACCATACGGATATTCAATCTGGCAATCGTCATCGAGTACTGCACGCACCTTGCCATAGAGTCATCCTCAGCCCCATTCCCAACCACCCTCAATAACCGTTCGCAACTTCCCAAGCCGTGGCCAAAGCTCTCAGCTCACTTGTCCGACACTTGCCAAATCTAGCGCTCAAACTGAAACTCAAAAGACTCACATGGCGCCGTCTTTGGTGTGGTTGGAAGGGTTGGAAGCAGGCGCAGCCACAACTGAGGGCGTTGGGCTGTCGGCGAACGGAAATGACCGCCCCCACTACCAAAAGTATCTTATCTAAGGTAATCAATCCACAATCTCTTATCTTATCGTCCGTTATCGCTTATCGCCATTCCTGACGTCGCCTTTCGTTACATTAAGGTACCTTACCTCAGGTAGGTTCATTGCACGAGCTCCGACCTTAGACCAGCGGAAGTTGTCATCGTTGATTGAATCCACAACACATTGGCAGGCAATGGCCATGGCCGTGTAAATCAGCAACTGCAGACATCCATGCACATACGCAGCCATCTCCGGTGGCTCATTCTAACGCGTCTCGATATGGCGCCTTGATCCCAACAGCCATCATGTCCATTAAGCCCTTGCCAGAGGACGTCACCCGCCGCATCAGGTCCTCAGCCACAGTCACGTCTCTCAACAGTGTCGCATGCGCTCTCGTCAAGAATGCTCTCGATGCCGAGGCCACAAGGGTCAATGTTACTATCGACTACTCTCGTGGCAATTGCACGGTTGAGGACGACGGGTTGGGTATTCTACCTGTTGAATTCCAGGAGAATGGAGGACTGGTCAAACAGCATCGTGAGCTACATGAACTCATCATAGCGCGCACTTGCTAAAACATCTTCAGACACATCAAGACTTTCAGCCGAGACAGACTGCCACGGCGTCAACGGCAACTTCTTAGCCTCTGTTGCCGCTCTGTCTCTGCTCTCCGTCACCTCCCACCACCATCTCTACAATTCGCAAAACTCAATCACCATTCACAACTCAAAGGTCTTGGCACGCAACATCCCTGCTCTACCGGAGCAACGCCTAGTGACCTTCAGCCATGGAACCCGCGTCACCGTTAGAGATTTGTTCGGATCCATGGCCGTCAGAGTTAAGCAGAGAGCTGCAGCCTCAGAAAAAGTCGCCGTGGACAAGGAATGGGGCCGATTACTTCATGACCTTACTGCTCTGTTGTTAGCCTGGCCTTCGAGTGTTGCTCTCTTCGTCCGAGACAGCGTCAACAAGAATGAGACACGCTTCAGGCCCAACACGACATCCAAGTCGGACATGGTAGCTCGTTCATCACGCACTCTGACACAATCAGGGCTTGTGGACGGCTTGAACCAAATAGTCTGGACTTCCATCGGCGCATCTGTTGGGAAGTTAACCATCGCAGGATGCATAGCGCTGAAGCCCGTGGCCACACGTCAAGCTCAGTTCATCAGCTTTGGTATCCATCCCGTGTCTGATGAGCATGGGACCAACGTTCTGTACAACGAGGTCAATCGTGTATTTGTCAATTCCGGCTTTGCTATAGAGGAGGACGCGGATATCCGAAACAATTCGACCGGTGTCGTTCTCCCACATCCGCAGGGAACTTCAACCAAACTTCCCAAGCCGAGGCGAGGCTTAGATCGGTGGCCAATGTTCTACTTTCGAATTAGCTCTTCGTCCCGTGCACGTCCTCTTGTAGCTTCATCTTTCGAAGACCTCCTCGAGGAACGGAACCACACCCTTGCGAACATGATTGACCTGCTCAAGCTTGTCTGTTATGAGTTCTTGAAGAAGCATCATTTCCGTCCTCACAAAGTCACTACCTCGCTCCAGGGTTCTAGTGGCAAGCATCAAGAAGACGATGCTAGGGAAGGGAGACGCAAAGGCAGCAGCCGATCGCGGACAGTCTCGTCAACGACCAGTCGATCGAATTCGGCTACCCCGCTATCGAGGCCAGAGTCTCCTTTCGATCTCTGGCAACGAGTGAAGGTAGGACGAACATCTGGAGGCACCTCGAAATCGGGGGCATCAACTCCTCTGTCCTCGGAGGTCGCTTTGGGAGCCACAAACAGGCGCACTGCGGAACAAGAGCTGGAAGAGGACGTCACGAAAGCTCAGCCTAGTCTGCGGTACCTCGACGAGTCCGGGAATCTTCTGCGGAAGCCCTTTGACGACTTGATGCCAAAGTCGTCGCCAAAGCAGGTCGAACCTGGCAACCGTTCTATTGCTACGAGTGAGGCTGCTGGGCAATATCTACTTTGCACGCGGCCATCAGTTGAGGTAGAGGAAGGTCAGTCGAAATCGTCTTCGGCAAAGCCCAACGACAATGACGGAGTACGAGGCCACATCAACTTGCTGCCTTCTTCTTCCCAATTCTTCAAGCCAAGGGATGGCCTAAAACCTCAACGGTCGAGCGATAGGCTCAGGGGGATTCTTTCGAAATGGGAGAATCCCGTTTTTCAGCCCGTCGATCCCCCAGTACCTCAACTGGATAGTACACAGGGAGGACTAAAACAAGGCCTGATTCAGTCCCTAGACCTTGACACTACTGGATGTTCACACGGAGCCCACACGTCGAATATCAAGCTCTCTGGTCGAGTCTCCAAGGCTGCTTTGATGGAAGCAGAAGTCGTCTCCCAGGTTGACAATAAGTTCATTCTGGTGAAACTCAGACGAGATCTGATTTCTGGCGGAAACCTGCCAGAAGTTCAAATCAATTCTGTTTTGGTCCTGATTGATCAACACGCCGCAGACGAGAGATGCAGACTCGAGTCACTGATGCGGGACTATTTTTACGTTGCGAATCGTCCGAAAGAGGTGCTTGCACAGACGGAGGCTCTCGAAAAGCCCTTGCAATTCGAGTTCTCGTCCAAGGAATGCAGACTGCTGCGCAAATATATCCACCATCTACGTCGGTGGGGTATTTTGTTCAACATTGATGAACCGGAGCCGACAGACTGGCGGCACAGAAGTAGGCAGCTCCCCAAGGTGGACGTGTTCAGCTTGCCACCTAGCATTCTCGAACGATGCAGATCAGAGCCGAAATTGCTCGCAGATCTTCTTCGGCACGAAATATGGAGAGCCGAGGAAGACGGTAGCCTAGCTTCCAGGTCCTTCAGTTTCGATGCTGGTGGTAGCAGTCAAGAAATCGACTGGGTATCGAACTTTCACGGATGTCCCCAAGGGATCCTCGACTTGCTTAATTCGAGATCCTGCCGCAGTAAGATTCAATCTCCACCTTTGTGAGAAGTCGTAATGCTAACTCGGCAGGTGCCATCATGTTCAATGACGTCCTATCCAGGGACGAATGCGAAGCTCTTGTTCGCAGGCTCAGTCGGTGCTCGTTCCCATTTCAGTGCGCACACGGACGACCATCCATGGTGCCATTGGTGGATATGAGAAGCTTGGGTGTGAAGAAGGAGACGCCTCTGGACAGCTTTGGGAGCTGTCTGAGGCAGTCTGGTCTGTCAAAATAGAGGTGCTCCTGCGATAACTGGCGCTATGGATAATAGTCATTTGAGAACTAAGATACCCCCAAGCGAGTGTTTACTCATTGAAGAAGGCATTGCCAATGGTGGAATGCTGCCAATGGATCTCAAGCGAAGTTCCTCATACATATTTCTTCGGAATGCCGTTCCTGCGAGAGCAAAATGCGTGCTCATTGCTCTAGAATGTTGATATTGGAGTGAATTATGGCTCGTTTTTGCAAGTCTTGTAGATGTCTATTTCGATGCTTCTCACGAGCTTATTGTCCAGGCGCTCGGAAACTCATATCACCAAGGCAGATCCTAAGGCGGATATGGTGAATTGAATTGGGGGGATTACCTGGGGCCGAATAACGCCGCCAGAGTTTAGACCAGATCCAGCTTGGCCGGAAAGTTGCTCAGCCTCACAAGCACCGTCCATACTCTGCGAATATTAGGTATTTAGTTCGAGCTAGCCCCCACGAAACCCCCACTTCACGGACCTCGTCACATCTTCCAATCTTGCATCAAACTTCGAATCTGGTTGGGTTGCATATCTAGCGTTTCCCTTTGAGCTCATGCCCCCCCCCCCCCCGAGCCTCGTCCCCGCACTCCTCGCTGCAACTAACATGGCCGCCCCAACGTCTGGCCCCGTCTGCCGGTACAAATTCACAATCCTGCCCGAGTACTTTGTAGACTACTACGAGGCCACCGACGCCAGCCCAAACGGGAAAGTAACCACGCAGCCAGGCCTCGGGCTCCTCGACAGAACCTTTGGAGGCGCGACGGCTGATGGTGACGACGGCGTAGTAGAAGGCGAGGGCGATGATGATGATGCTGATGCCAGGCCCTGGGAGCGATTCGCCTCTCACGTGAGGAGGCTCAACACACAGAGCCCCGACGGCGTGGACTACAAGGTCTTGTACCTGACGAGGCACGGCCTCGGGTACCATAATGTCCAAGCAGCCAAGGTCGGGACGGCTGAGTGGGACGTAAGTTCTTTTTTTTTTTTTTTTTTTTTTTTTTTTCAAACCTTCTCAATCTTGATGAAAATCGAAGCAACTACTGAAAGCGGGCAGCGATACTGGTCCCACCTGGACGGCGACGGCGTCGTAACCTGGCTCGACGCGGCGCTCGTCGACACAGGCATCCAGCAGGCAAAAGACCTAAGCACTTTCTGGGCGCGCGCAACGTCCACCACCGCCGAGGGCGATGGCGTCCCCTTCCCGGAATCCTTCTACACGAGCCCTCTCCGCCGGTGCCTCGAGACGAGCAACCTCGCCTTTGGGCCCCTCGTCGAATCCAAGGGCGCGGGCCAGGAATTCCGACCCGTCGTCAAGGAAGGGCTTAGGGAGCGCATGACGGACCACACGTGCGACAAGAGGAGCCCGCGGAGCTGGATCGAAGGTGCGTATCCGCGGTACCGTATAGAGCCTGGCTTCACGGAGGAGGACCGGCTTTGGAAGGCGGATCGGTTTGAGACGGCGGAGGCGCACGTCGCGAGGAAGCAGCTTGTGCTGGAGGAGATTTTCTCGACGGATCCGGCGGTGTTTGTGTCGTTGACGGTGCATTCGTATGCTATTTCGGCGATATTGAGGGCCGGTGGGCAGGAGACGTTTAGGGTCCGGGAGGGATCCTCCATTGCTTTGTTGGTTCGTGGGGATAGAGTAGGTAGTTAGGTAGGTAAGTCGTCGAGTGCCATGAAATCAAAACTTTTCCGCTACCTTACTGAGGTACCCTATTTTCCATCACGACTTAGCCCCCCCTGATCACCACACGTTCTTCTCATCCCGCAGAAGCAGCGGAGCCTTCTCGTCGTCATGCTCCCCCTCCGCCCGCCCCAACGAAGCGGTTCTCCTCGCGAGCTCGCGAAGCATGGCGGCGTCTTGCTTGCGCTGCTCCCCGCGCTTCTTCTCAAGTTCGTGCCTCCTCTCGCGTTCCTCAAAATCCCGAATTCTCCGCGCTGCGCCCTCCCTGCGTTCTTGTTCCTCGCGCCGAGCGTCCTCCTCGGGGTCGTCGGTGGAGCGACGGATCGACGTGGTATGCCACACTGCGACAATGACGATCACCTGGAAGAGCACGGCGGAGATGGCAAGCATCATCAGGCCGGGGTCGGACATGATGAGGTATCTTGTCTGCTTGAGTATGTTAAGAGATATTGCGATCGGTTGATTCACATGCAGAGGGACTTACTACGTAAAGTAGAGGTTGTTGTGATAATTTCAAGTTTGGTTTTCGGCGAGCGCGTTCAAGTCTGGCGCGATGTGATATCTTTGCGGGTACGTCTTGGTGAATGGGTATAAACTGTTTGGTAACCAGGCACTTATTGTAGATGGGAAGGAGATATAGAGACGATTTTCCCGAAAGAGGATGCCAGAAAAGTCGGCTTTATGATCCAGGACAAAAGGTTTCTTCGGCCCGTGGTTTGGTGACACCTTTTCGGCGGTGTACCTCTGTGAATACGGGGGACACGGAAGCTACCTAGCCAAAGCCCGAGGGCTTCGGGTCCGAGTGGGGCACATCGGAGGCTTAGGTTCCGTGTGTGGTGGTGGACCGAGCAGCCCCGGCCCTCCGGGTGCCACCCCGCTCTTCATAACCGAGATCCACAATTTATTCTCAAGATGACGGCTGACAACGAGATTCATGTGCCATGAAAACCTAATGTCAGGTAACTAGGTAGGCTGGTAGATCACTGAATGCCTACTTGGCTCCTGGAGCGTTTTTTTCTTTTTCAGAAATTTAATAGAGTAAAGGATGTAGGTTGGCTGAAGGGCATCCAGATAACTCCAACCACAGTCTATGGTATGCTTGAGAGACGTACCACTTGTTTGGCGGTTGCGTAGAGTAAGCCGAGATTGACTCTCTATTTGAGTGGAAACGTATAAGAGGATTTGTGATGTAATCACCCCACGTTCTCTGTCCTGCAAAATGTCGTGAAGGTCACGGAGGCCTTAAATCGTAAAAGCTCGTCGTTCGACAAAACTAGAACGGTAGTCTTCACACGTATGGAATTCTGGGCCTTGATGTTTTGCGTAATATGTGCAATGTGTGATGCATCAAGCATGATATTTACGTCCTCGACGGTAAAGTAGTAAGATATGTACATGAATCTGTCGTTGGTCTCTTTGCGTGTACCCGACTCAACACCTCCCCCAATTACAACCACTGAAAAACTCCAACAGGAGAGATAAAAAGGGGGCAAGCAATCCAAGCAAAAGCGCTTAGAGCTTGCCGAAGCCGGCGCTGGTGGCAACAGCCTTGGCGTCGTTGGCGGTGCCGGCAGAAGCGACGTTCTTGCCGGCAAAGTTGGCGAGGATGGAGGTATCGGAGCCGACCAGGGTGCCGCTGGAGCCATAGGCGTTGAGCTGGCAGGCGTGGCCGAGGTTGGTGGAGCACTTTGCATTGGTGGTAGAGTCAGGGGAAGCGAAGACCTGGCCGGCGAGACCGGTCTGGTAGGCAGCGACAACGTTCTGGAAGATGTTGCCCTCGGCGACGATCTTGGCACCAGCGTCGGCCTCGAACGCGTGGCCGGAGTTGTCGTACCAGTAGTTGTTGACGGCGTGGAGGAGACTGTGATGGATCCTTGTTAGTCGGAAAGTTCGCTAGCACCAGAACTGGCAGGAATTATACGTACGTGTTACCGGCGACCTTGGGGGCTCTGCCAGAGGTGTGGTGGACGTAGTTCTTCTTGAAGGTGACCATGTCGTTGCTGCCGGTGAAGTAGAGTCCCCAGTAGTGGTGACCGTCGCAGGTGGCGGACCAGGAGGACGAGCCGTCAATCTCGTTGTTGGAGATGGTGACACGGTTAGAGGCGCCGTTGCCGAGAACAATGTGCTGGCGGCCGATCAGGGAGGTCTTGACGTGGTCGATCCAGACAAGGTCGGAGCCGTCGAGAGTGATGGCATCACCGCCCCAGACGTACTTGGGGTTCAGGTTGGTGATGTGGATGTTCTTGCACCGGTAGTTAGCCCCTTGGCCGGCATGATAGTGACTAGTTCAGTGAAATGAGTCTTCATACCTGGATGATGATGTTCTTGGCGCCGCCGGTGATACGGAGACCCTTGCCAATGATGACACCCTTGCTGCCCTGTCCGATGAGGGACTTATTGGAGCCGAGCTTGATGGGGTTCAGGCCAGCGTTGTCGTAGCTGTGGAGTGGGTAAGTTAGTATCATGAAAGGCATAGCATATCCGCAGGATGTAAGTGATTTTCTACATACGTCGTGGAGACCTTGGGAGCGTTGGGCTGGTAGTTGGTGCACCAGTTGTCCTTGTTAATGGCAGTCTGGCAAGCAGAGCCAGTACCCCAAGGCGCGCAACCGGTAGCAGTGGTGGTACCCTCAGTGTTGCGGAAGTCAAAGGTCTTGGTCAAGACGATGACGCGGGCGGAGGAGTCGGTAAGGTAGGAGACAAGCTCGGAGGTGGTGGAAGGGTAGACGGGAGTGGCGCTACCACCACCGGTGGTTCCCTTGGCGAAGCCCTCAGCGGCGCCAGAGACGGCGTCGGCTGCGAGAGCCAAGGGGGCGAAGGCAGCCAGTGCCACGGAGAGAAGAGCAGATCTCATATTTGGAAGGCTTTCGAACAAGAAGAATAAAAAGGTAGATACAAAAGAACGAATATGGTTTGGTCGGATGTGAAAG